CCTTGTGTTTTCATTGTATAACTTGCTAAGGAGAGAAGTATGTGTGTGTGGAGAGGGTTTAAGTGAATATCTGTGGCATCTGGGTAAAATTATGAACAATAAAATAACTATGAAAATCAGCTGGAATTTCATAAGCAGCTAAACTATGACCATCTAGGGCATGCTGAATGAAAAGGACATGTCTAAAGTAGAACATGCTAAAATGAGGAATGTCTGTACAGTCTGGCATGAAGCCAAGTGCATACTGAATTAGGTCACTGCTTTAAGTGTGAATGTTTCCCCTCTTTAGAAAGACATACTCATCCTTTGCAACAAGGAACCAAAACAGAATGCTAATATAATGAAAACAAATTTAAAAGCATTTCCAATTAGCATGCTGGTCTATTCCCTTGTGCTTAGAGAATCAGTGAGCTCTTTTCTAAGACACAGAAACATTTCCATAGTTGAATATACATAAGGCCCTGGAAATGCAGAAAGAATAACAACCAGTTGCTTATGGAAAACTTGCAAATCTTTATAAGCATTGTATAAGCCTGAGATGTCTTGTTCTTTGGAGATCATAGGGATCATGGGGAGTATTGCAAATAGACTTGTTTCGAAGAAATGAAATAAAGTGAAATACCAGCATGTGCAACTTAAAGATTTTGAGCTTAATCTTTAAACACTGAAATGCTGATCCCAAGGACTTGTTCTTTTTTATAAACCAGAATGTACCATGTGACACCGAATTAATTTTCCTGTTGTGATTCTTGGGATTCTGTGTGCTTTTGCTAATTCTGGGGTTTCACAGCCTGCTTTCTCTTGTAATCATCTTCTCCAGCCTGGGAGTAGTTACTCAAATTCCTAAAATAGTGCTGTGCCAGACCTAATTCATATCAAATTTGGGTTGTAAATATGCAAAATACTGCTTTTCTGAAAAGAGAGGATAGTGAAAGAGAGGGCTTGTCAACCCTCCTTTTTCTGATGGGATGAGAAATAAGATTTTTACTGGCTTCACTCAGTCCTTGAAGGATGCAAGAAGAAATCTTTATGATGGCTCTTCTCAGCAGAAGTAATACTGAGGGGGGGAAAAGAAGGTGTCCAAATTGTCTCAGTCCCCACTGCTTTAGCGCACTAACTTACCCCTTCAGCTCTGCATGCACAATTTAAAATTTTAATGTTTAACATAACTATCTGCACAACCATTCCTTGCCTTTAAAGGCTGCAGGGAAGCTGTAGGGGGGAAAATCCCTGTTCTTTATGGTGTTGCATAAGAACTGTCAAAGATAAATAGGCAAGGCCTATCTCTGTGCAAAAAGGCTGTTGTCTTAATAAGATTGTCACTAGCTCACTAGAAAAGGGTTTCAACTAATGAGGGAGTAGAAAGAAAAGAACCAGCGAGCTCTGTACAGCCTACCATGTGTAGCTTCCATTGCTTCAGAAGGGGGCTTCTAGTTTTTCTTCCTTAAGGCCATGGTCCACAAAACAGCCTTCTCGTGTCAATAGGTAAAGTGCCAGTAGGAAGGCTCAGAAATCTGCAGTTATTCATAGTCTTTTGTTCTTGCATTGGTGATGCAACGCAAACAGCGAGTCCCTGTGGAGGCATGCTGACTTTCTTAATCCATGCTTACCATAACGATGTACATTTGGCCACAGTTAAGAAAGTTTTTGAGAAGAGAGTTGTTCTTTCATTGCCCCCTGCTATTGTCTGAGGGAATCTTAATCTCCTGGTACATTGTGTCCTCTTGACACTGCATCAGGAAATCTGTTGTCACTTGCTTCTGAGAGATGAATGAGACCTAAAGGAACTTAGTGACTCATCAAAGTTGAACACAGGGCAATTTATTGGTAGAGCAAGAACTGAATAAAGGCCTACTAGGCTAATGTCACCACTTCAGGGGTGTCTGTGTATCACCTAACAACAGTTAGTGATTGTTTAAAGCCCGTAGGGGTAGGAGGTTGCATGACTTAGGTGGCTCTAAGTTAGAGGTTCAGTGATGAACCAAATCTGGCTGTGGCTTGCAGCTGCCTGCACTGCCCAGCATCAAGCTGTACCGTGGTAGCCCAAATAATCTCTTAAGATAGTCTTAGCTAGAAATACTAGCTCCTGCTTTCTAGTACACACTTTCATTTTCTTTAATTATCCTGTAAAAGTGAGGAGAAAGGTAAAGGGAAAACACAAAGCTCTCTTCCTCATGTTCTACTGAGCTGTAAGACTTAGCCTTGTTTCCTACCCTGTCCCCAGTACCAAAAGCATCCTTCATAACTTCAAAAGCTGATTTCTGTAGTGGTACTGTAGCTGTGTTTGTATATACAGTGATGCAAAAATGCTGCTGTTCTTGACAGCAGTAATAAGGCTGTGCAGTGGAAAAATAGTTGGGACTGGTTTTGTCAATACCTTGTAAGTCACATAGTTTGATAATTTTTCTATATACCTTAACTGATCTAAGATGTGCCAGCTTCTGCATGCAGTGGCTTTAGTACAGTCTAGCATTTATCTAGGTTTAAAGAAACATATGATTCTTTGTTATGAATCGTGGCTTCACCTCTTGTGATCTTGCAACTTTGTACTAAAGAAAGCTTAGGATGATCTTACCTCAATTCTGTGAACTGGTTTTATCCTGTAGATTGTTTTTTCTTCTGTTTCCCTTGATTCACCACATCTGGATCCTGGTCAATAGTCTGAAGATACATCTGGTGTTGATCACTTTTTGTAGGCATTTAACTTGCATTTATATAATGTTGTGTTTGTGCAGTGAGGAGTGACTAACATCTGTCTTACCTGGACTTCAAAGGATGTCATGTAGAATTCAGTTGATAAAACTGTTACTTATTTTGTACCAAAGTGTCCAATAGCTTTACATGAGTTCAAAAAGCTTCAGTTTCAGATAAATACTGCCTTTAAGCTGCTGTATTAAGAATTTCTACATAATGGATCTAATTTATTCATGAACAGGGTCGTAGGCAGGGATTTTAGCACTAGAAATACTAATAACTGCTTCAAGCAGTCCTGTGGACTTCAGCTGGACAACTCCAAGGTGTGCAGCTCCTGCAAAACTTAGTATGCATGACAAGCATGCAAGCTTACGATCAGCTGTCGCAGGCATTGGTGTTGGTGTTTTACATAAATTACTTAATCTTTCAGACCTTGTTATTGGAGCTTTCTTGCAAATGAGGGTGTTGAATATCATGGTATCACTGATAATGTGGTACCTGGTTCTCACTAAAGCAGTATCTCAATGCTGGAAACCAAATGGGAAGGGAGAAATGTCACAAGGTGTTTGTTATAAACACCAGGAGTGCATCGTGGCACTGTGACTTGTTTGCAAGGACCAAAGAAGATGGGGTTTGTGGCTGCTGACAGTGTTAGTTAACAATCTGTCCAACCCATATATAAGGCGTATTGGAGTGGGCAGCTTTTTTCTGATCTCATAAGCATACTGAAACTAAACTGAAGTTACTCAAGTCTTAGAGCTTCCCCCGAACAATAATTACACAACACAGTTGAAATGAGTGTAGAGCTAATAGATCCCTGGATAGATTTTAATGAGCTTCACTTATTTTCTATGACCAAGTTTTAAACAAAAGTATTTTGTCAATGTTAGAAAGTAGACTAACATGCATTGAGTTTACTTCTTATCTCTTTATGCTGTCATTGAAGAGGCCTAGAAACTGTTTAGCTGACTATCGTTGCTGAGTAGTATTTTTGGTATCCTCCTCTTGTGTAACTACGATCTTTTTCCCTGTTTTTTTTCTTGTGAGCTGGTTTGGTCAGCGGTGTAAGAGGGTGACCCATGTAAACGGTCAAGGCCTCTTCACACTAGCCGAACCCAATCAAAAGGTGGAAATGTTAGTGAATGGATAGCCTGAGGCTTCCTTTCATCAGTCAGGAATTGGGGTTTGAATTTGAATTTCTGTTGTATTTGACCTATTCTGAAATGCTGTTTCCGTGAAGTTTGATATTTAAATCTGCAATACTTTATTCATAAGTGAATAATTATTCTCTAAAAGGTATTTAGTTAAACTAAAAGCAAATGGAAATGCAAGCTGCTGCTGCTTCAAAATAGTTCTTGGAGGGTTTTTTTTTAGTTTAGAGGAGTAGGAAGGGCATCGATTTTGTTGGTGTTTTTCTTCCTCCCACAGAGGAAAACAAAACAAAATAACCAAGAAGGAACAGGGGAGTTAAATAAAACTTGACAAGACTAGAAGAACCCTTACTGCTTTAGCTATGTGAAAAATGTATTTCATTAGACTGTCCATATTGCTGTTTTCCAGACACTATGTCAAAGGGAATCACTGATGGGTAATGCAATGGAAAGAAATAATGTTTTCTTTCTCCTTTTCTCACCCCTTCTTCCAGCAGTTCTTTGCATCCATGTGTTACAACTTTGTTCGCGTGTTTTCCAAATGACTGGCTGCCTTGAGTTCTAATATGCACCTTTCTTTTAATTTTAGGTTCTGTCTTCATTTTGCTGACTCAAACCACAGATTCCAAGGAAAGGAGGGGAAGTGGATTAAAATACTCCAGTGCCAAAGGAAAAGCCAGACTAGCCAATGAAAATTACTGTTAGTAAACCGTAGACTACTCTCACTTACACAGTGGGGTAAAAAAATTCAAAGCTTATTAAACTACTTTCGCAGACTTTCCTCACTGAAATTCAAATAAGCTTAAAACCCTTCAACTAGGGTTGAAATAGGAGATTGAAATATGATTCCTTGCTGGTGTCTTCCGTCTTCCTACTCCTCTGCAGGGTTTTTTGTTTGGTGTGGGAAATCCTGAGCAAATTGTATGGCATCATTCAAGCTTACAGTTGATGGTTATGGGTGACATAGGAACTTCAGATTTATGTCTCTGCAATGACACTTGATTAAGGCAAAGGTTGAAAACTGCTCATCAGCTACTTTATCAAACCTTCTAGTAACTATTACGGTCATGCTTTCTGAGATTTGAACTATGGGGTGATGCTCCCTGGAAGGCGTGAGCAGATAAGTCATCTTTTTGGATTGAAAACGGAAATAATATGAGAATGCCCAGAAGAGGCTTAGTAATTCAAGCCAGGACTCGTTGGCTATTAGTGGGCCTTGCTTTACTATTCAGTTTAGTCTTGCTCATGTATTTACTCGAGTGTGCTCCACAAACAGATGGTAATGGATCTCTACCTGGCGTCGTAGGTGAAAACATGGGTAAAGAATATTATCAAGCTCTCTTGCAGGAACAAGAAGAGCATTATCAAAATCGAGCTACCAGTCTGAAACGTCAGATTGCCCAGTTAAAGCAAGAGCTTCAGGAAATGAGTGATAAATTGAAAACCCTGCAGGAAAAAAAGAGCCCCAAGGTCAATGGTATGAACTACCAGGGCACCAAAGAACAAGCATCCAATGATCTGCTAGAGTTTCTTCATTCCCAGATTGACAAAGCTGAGGTGAGCATGGGGGCCAAACTGCCTAGTGAATATGGCGTCATTCCTTTTGAAAGCTTTACATCCATGAAAGTATTCCAGTTGGAAATGGGGCTCACTCGGCATCCAGAAGAGAAACCCGTTAGAAAGGATAAACGTGATGAATTGGTGGAAGTTATTGAGGCTGGCCTAGAAGTTATCAATAATCCAGATGAAGAAGATGGACAAGATGAAGATGATGGAGTAGGAGAGAGACACCTGTATAGTGAAAATGATTTCATAGAAGGTATGTTTATTACATGCTTTCCAGCCCATTAACAGAATGTCACATCAGTCGTATAATGGTGTTCGTATTTTCAGGGGTTTTACCTGCTCAAATATAGTCTTGAACAGTAATTACACAGTAAGAACCTATAGTTCTAATGGTGAGAGTATTACTGCTTCATTGTCTTGTGTTTTGAGTAGGGAGCAAGAAATCCATTTCAGAAGGAGTCACCTCAAGAAGCGTACAGAGGAAGCTGTATCTGCTTAAAATAGAGGCATTCATAACTGATTGTAGCTGAAGTCAGTGTGACACAACTGCTTATGGTACTAAGTAGCTGAAAGATTTCCAGTGAAACTGGTGGCAGTGGGAGGGAGAAATCGATTCATCTCTCTTGTTCCTGTGTAGTTAAGCAATTCAGTATGAAGCTGTGGGGTTTTTCTTTGTTCATCTCTATGCCACTTGTAGTTAATATTCAGACTTTTTGCTCTCTTAGAGTTGGCATACCTGTATTGGAGGGAGAGCATTGGTAGTCTAACGTGTTCTGGTCATGTCAGCTGAAGAACTTGGTATCCTGAATAGACCTTTCATGGTGTACTGATTATGGGGTCCACTAGGCTATACAACCTTGAACTGTTCTCTTGTTCTGTCTTTGATTCTCTCTCGGTGCTTGTAAGTTTAATTACAGAACACATTATTATAGAAGCGAATATAGCTGTTATGCTTTCAACACTTAGTGACACCCTTAAAAGATGAGTTAGTGATAATTCCTATAGAAGTTGGCCGTCAAAGTACAGTGTAACACTGATGGAGATAAGTATTATCAAAAACTGCCCTAGTACCTCTTTTTTGTATTTACAGTATTAAATACAGTTCTTGCTGCCATAAAAAAACCCAAAGGTTGGACCATGTTATAAGAGCATTACTGTAAAAGGGATTCTGGATCTCAGCAGTACTGATGTCTGCACTGTTAAGCAAACATGCTGGAGAAAGGTACCGTTGGCCTTGACATAATCAGTTCTTTCAGTCTAAGATGATGTAATCGGTCTGTAGCGCAAAAAGTCTCTGCTTTTAACAGCTACTGTGTTTAAAGTTTAATGCAAGTACTCTTTGTCGTTCCAGAAGGTGGGGTTGGGCAGGGCATAGAATCCACAACTGTGTCGATGTAACGCAGCCAGCACAGTGTTAGGCTGTTAGTATAGTTTTCATTAAAAACCATATTTTGTCTAGAGGTAGTCATTCTTGCAGTATTTTAATTGTTTTCTTTCTATATTAAGTGTGCAGCTGCTTTTCCTTTGCTGTTTTAGATACTGCTTATACTCTGGTGGATTTGGTTTTTTACCGTTGCTGAAATAGCTGTTTATTTCTCTTAGTGTACTGCCTTTAATGACTGCAGAGCTCCAAGAAAGCAAACAGATTTAGGATCTTAGAACTGTACTTGATACCTCTGCCTCTGTTCACACCGGTATATTGATAATTATTTTTGGAAATCAAACTAATTTCCTTTTGCTGTAAAGGTAGTCTCTTCAAGCATAGGGTTACAGGAACTATAGAAAAAGAAAAGTATTTTTATGCTGTAGCTCCTATGAGTGTGTTAGCAGCTAGCCGTAGTGATACATATCAGTGTCTTTTTTTAGACAGAAGTTGTGGTTTGTGTGGGTATTCTGTGGCTTTGTTTGTATGAATACTACTGGATAATTTAGGCACTGGACCAGCAAAAAAGACTGCTTCTGAATATTAAAACCTTTTTTTCTTTTTTCCCCTGTTGTTCCAAAGCTTAGAGGTGGGAAATGGAGCCCTCTGGCAGTGGTACGTACAGGCCCTTTGCCCTGCAGCCGTGTGACTGGGCTGTAGCGCGCTACCTCTGTTGTCAGTTTGTGCATCCTTGGTTGATGGAAGTCCAGTTGGAAAGCTGATGCCTTTCTATTTAGAAAATACTTCTCCCTTAAGCTATCATAAACTGGTAGGTTTAAGTTGCATAGCGGACATGGTGTATCTACTGAAGTCACAACAGGTCCTGTAACTGTCCTAAGAGCACAGCTAAATTATTGCTGGATTAATGTGCGCATTTAGAGCAGCAGTTTGTTAAAGTTGGCTTGAGTTAAAATAAATAGTTAAAGTTCTGTATCTTCAATTGCTAATAGATTATTTTGTAATAAGTGATTTAGGACTAAGATTAGAGTTTTACGCAATTTGAAACGGGAGGCTGAGAAACTTGGTGTGGATTATTTTTTTTGGTTCTGGGGCAAAAGGGAAAACATGATACTGCATTAGTTTATACATAACCGTCATATTTTGTGCTTAATATAGATAAACTGATTTTGCTTTTGTTTTGACTTGCAGGAATTTTTTCTCAAAACTAATGCATATCTATCTACAAAACCCCACAAAACTGTTCCACAAGTACAAGCTAAACTAGGAACAGGCATTTTTATTCTAGAAGTGTTCTAGCTTCCTACCTTAACAGGCTAAATTTTCATGTAGGTAAACGCTTGGTTCTGGGAATTATTTCAGCTTTTTTCCTAGACTTGTGAAATACTAGACTAAACCTTCAGCTATGTAATATTTTGTGGTATGCACTTTCAGGTTTATTAGTAAATCCTTAGAGAATTTGGTGACTGTTTAAATAAGTTTAGAATCTCTTTTCTTGTAGACAACTTAACCTAATGGCATCTCTTCATCTCCACAGAATGTGTCTGAAGTTCTTCCCCAGCATTTATGTTCCCTCTGATGCCTGGTCTGTGAAGTATCACTGTCTTGATCTGTAAAAGCATCAAGAGGGTTTTTTTCTTACTGTATTTTAGGATTTATCTATATTGGAGTAACTTGTGACAGCAAAGACTAACAATATGAATTAAAAATTAATCTCCCTTCTGCCTGTTTAAATTTGTCTATTTTATAAATAGAAGTTTCCTAAATAAACTTTTCTGAAAAAGTAAACTTAATTACTTGATAATACATGGTAGTCTGAAGCTATTGGTTTTTATTACTCTAGCACTGCATAGGCCAAAAAACTTCAAAACACATGCTGATGTATGCTAACTTTCTTGTCACTGCTCTGTTTTGGTTTTTTTTTGTTGTTTTGTTTTAGCTCTGTGCCCCCGATTTAACTGTTCATGCAGTTCCTTTGCTGCCTGCTCAGCCTCCATGGTCTCTACGATATTCTGACTTCTAGCAATGGTGCAAGGAAGCTGTATCCCCGATAGGGAGCAACCTGTTCAAGTGTTATCCAAACTGATGTTATCTTTTTAGTGTTGCAAGACAAAGTAATGGTCCAAATCGCTCTTGGAGTTGTGATTGGGCAGAGCTGCCACAGCCACATCATGGCAATTGACAGGCTTTGAGCAATAACACCAAGTAAAAAAAATGATTTGCTAATCTGCATTGCAACTACAAAGATACTTTCTGAAGCTCCAGGTTATTTTTCAGAAGGCTCAATTGATGTACTCTGCTAATGAGAACCAGCAAGTTTCTCAGCTATATTGGGCTCTGTTTGCTGCATTGTTACCTTTTTTGCTTTGTTGCAACCCAGAATGAAACTTCCAGAATTCTAACATTAACAGAACAAAAATCTGACCTTAAAAGAAGTCTTGTTCTGCAGTTGCTGTTTGAGAAACGCTTTGAAGTTTTTTTTCCTTAAGATTTCCATTAGATATAAGCATATGAGAAACAGGAGTATGTTATTCCCCTTGGATGAAGAATATCCCTAGAGAGGATAAAAGTTGCAATATTATGTATTTTCACAAATGAAGGGCTCTAGGAATGCAGACAATGAACCTTATTCCTGAATTGGGCATTCTAATATAGTCCTGATTAAAAATAGATTTCTTTGAGATTAGCATTTGATAATATTGAGAAACAGGGGATAAGTAAGATGGGAAGAGCATAATAGTATTACCTCTGTCTGTCCCCTTTCTTCAGAAGCCTGTGACATTAAGTCTTGAATAGTGATGCAAAACTCATTGAGGAGCCTTCGTGGACATCTGTACTTTATCAGTGTAACTGGTTTGTTAGGGTTACATTTATCAGTGTAACAGGTTTATTTTATCAAGAGATTAAAAGCTCTTCCATTGGATAGACATTTAAAATCACCCTTTGGAAAATGGACGCATTAGCTTATTTTCAGAGGTTAATTATCGATTAGTTAATCTCTAATAAAGGTCTTGTTATTGAATGTCTACCAGAATTGAAGTGCTGTTGTTTGGGTCCGTTTCTCTTGCTTCTGTGTTTCCAGCTGGAACTGGGCAAAGGCCAGAAACTATCTTTAGATCTGAATCTCAAAGGAAGACTCCCCACCCATCCTAGGTATATGAAAACTATTTATCCAAATGCTGCAAGCTCAAAGTCAAAACTTGTCCAAAGTCCTTGCCATCCCTAGAACAGCGTGGACTCTTTGTCACGCAAACACCCCTTTTAGTATGGCGTGCATCAGACCAGACCTGGGAACTTCAATGGAGAATTTTTATACACAAAAAAAGATGTATGTCTTAAATTCCATAGACCAAATACTTTATTGGTACTTGTAAAACAAGTAATAGTATTTGAGGCAATAGAAGAACAGCTTTTTGGCTTTGATATTAATTGATCCCCAGTATTCCTAGATTTCATTTGTTTGGTGAGAAACAGAAGTTCTGGAAAGGGAGTAAAGCTTCATGGACCAGGAATAACACTGTTAAATTATTTCTGCTGCTTTCTACCTCTTTGCTTATAGAGCTCTACTTTGGATGGCAGCCAGTATATGCTAGTTGGAAGGTGAGATAGCAGGTTTTATTACACGAGTCTGTCCCAAGAGTTAAAAACTTGAATACACTAAGAAGTAAAACAGATGTGGGTTCTTTTTCTGGCTGTTCTCAATTCTGGCTTCTGTGTATAGAAGCTTTAATCTCATAAAAGTATTCAAATTAGTAGATTACCTATGAAAGTTAGCTCATAGCAAGAAGAATAACTCGAGAAGCACATACTTACTATTTAAAGTGTGGTGCTGTTAGGATGTTGAGATTCCAAAGTCTGGAATCCTATATTCCAGCAACTGAATGTTGGCAAGGTACTGCTCAAATTCAGACTTGCATATTAAGGTCTCTATGAAGTTACAGGAGCATTTTTCTTAAAATTACTATAATCTAAAAATTTTTATTCTGTACTGCAGTCTTCTGTTGTAGACTGACATCTAAGCTTATCCTTTGATTAAAGATAAGCTGTTGGGAACTGTGACGTGCTTTTTACAAACTTCACTTACATTGTAAATGGTGTTTTAATCTAAACAGCTATTGGGTACTAGAGAAAGGAATATAATACACAATACTGAGTGTTAATTTATGCAGGAGTACTGGTACAAAGTATTTGCTGTGTATTGCATGAGAGCATGGTGTGCAAACACTGTGGTGCATCAGCTGCTCCAATAACCAAGAAACTGTTTTCAAGTTACAGCGCTGGACTAGACAGCACAGACAGTTGGAGTGGAAAACGATTGAGAGGGATTTAATATCTTTCTGCTTCTAACAGTCAACACTGTGGACTTTCATTGTTTGAAACACCCTTTTCAGTACTTGTAGTTAATACTGACTTGAAACTGTCATGCTTTCCCCAAGCTTTAAATTCTGGTTCGTATCTTATGCAGTTCTGTGTTCACAAAAGAATAAATGTGGATTTCTTTCTCTTAAAGGAGTGCATTGCAAAACTTTGTTCAAAGGATAAAAAGCATTTAATTTGAAAAGTTACATATAGTCACCGTTAACTTCCAGTGTGGTGGCACCAGCTTGTTCCACTACACCCGGTGTCCCGCAGACCCTGTGTGGTGGTCATCCACTTGTCCCATCGGGTCTGCCAGTGCACATGCTCGCCTGCAAGAAAGACTGCATTACAGAGCTGAATATTGGAGGGGAATAGGGAGCTTGCTGTGAAAGAGAGGCTATTGGACAGATACAGGACAGGGGCAGAAGGAGGGAACGTCGATGAATGAAATTGGTTTTGGTTTGGGGAGGGAGACTGGAGCAGAGGAACGTGGAGGCAGTTAGATTTAGGGAAAGGACTCTTTGTGAAGGGAGCCTGGGGTATAGGGGAAAAAAGTTGGGGCAAGGTGGTGTACACGTTCTTTTCCTTCTTGTATTGAATAAGAAGGTAATGGGAAGAAGGAAACATGGAAGAATATTTGCCTGGGGATAGGGAGAGAAGCAAAGCTGTCAGATCACTTTTCTAGTTCCTGAGATAGACAGTCAAAACCAAGTTGCTCTAAGTTTTTAGGGCTGCTCCCTTCACATATCTTGACCCCTCTTGACTTCAGTTGCAAAAAAGACAACAATAACAGTAAGGACGGTATCAATACTGAGTGCAAAAGACAACCCTTTGTGTCACCAGAAGAGTTCAGCTGTTCCATGGCCTACCATCTTCTTTCTGGGTGGGAGGCTGGGAGAGGGTTTCAGCTGCTCTAGAGGCTGGTGTGCAGGAGAAGAGGCAGTTCAGGCCTGCGAGGTGAATGGAAACACACTGGTTGCATGGTACGAAGGCAAGTGTGTTCATCACACTTGGGGATAGGCAGCTATTTGTAACTTTCTCAATGATCTGTGTGGCCAGCTCAACTGAGAGTTTTTTTGTTCATAGTGTAGCCTATGTTTCTTCTCAATAATACACCTTTTCCTTGTGGGTGAGAGAGGAGAGCAGAGAAGGGAAGAACATGGGGCAATTCTGTTGGAGGATATTTCCTGTCATTTCTCGCTCTCAGGTTAGTATAGATACCGAATTAACAATGCAGAGCTCAGTTCAGTCAAAGCCACAGATGAGTCTTGGTATTTTCCTTTGTGGTTTAAAATTAGAGAGGTTGTTGGCTTAACTTGCTTCCTTGATGTTCTGAATGGGATAAATTTTCCTACCAGTTAGGAGTAAAATATCTGTAAATCCTGTTTATAGAGGACTGGTACTGTTTTCTTGGTGTTACAGCTATGTAGAAAACTTCTGCCTAGGTCCTTAGAGGACCATGGCTATAGTAAAACACCACTGTCTTTCTTTATCGGATACAAAGCACTGTAGCTAGTGATCAGCAGTGAAAATTTTAAAGCATTTCAGCATTTGTCACACAAATTTTTTTTAGATATCACATTTCAGATTTTGCAGGCTTTGTCAAGCGAGTTAGTATTATTTGTTCTGCCCACAGCTTGAGTTGTGTTGATTGCTGGCCAGATGATCTCAGCTTTTTCTGTGGACTAGCTCAGGGAGAAAATCCTTACTGAAGGGCTTAAGAGCAGCCATCCTTTTCTACAGCAAATAGCTGAATTCCGTTTTTGCTGTGAAGACCCAACTCTAATTCTGCCTGAGAAGTTGATGTAGGACCATAAAAACCTGTTGCGATCTCTAAGAAGGAGAGGAAGCTGGAGTTTGTTTGCAATTGTTTCCCAGATCTGGTCAAAGAGGGTAGGAGGGTGATTGTGATTGGTGATGGTTTGTGGATTGATTTGTTTGTTTTTAGGAAAAACCCAGAAACCCCCAAAGCTTTGTTTTTCACTTCTTTATAGTTCTTAGGAAAAACAGCGTTTCTGAAATACAGTTGTGGGGATCTTTGACTTTACAAATTACTTGTGTGACTTATTCTTCAGGTTACTATCGTACAGAAAGAGATAAGGGGACACAGTATGAACTGTTTTATAAGAAGATGGATGGCATGGAATACAGGCATGTCACCTTGTTCCGACCTTTTGGACCCCTCATGAAAGTGAAGAGTGAAACGGTCGATATTTCTAGATCAATCATTAACATTATTGTCCCTCTTGCTGGAAGAACTGAGGCATTTGCACAATTTATGCAAAACTTTAGGTAGGTGCCTGAGACTGTATAGCGAGCTATATTGCTGATTTTAAGTATTTTGTTTCCTTTTCAAATTTAACTTCTGTTCTGGTGGATTTGGGACAGAGCTAATGATTCCAACACTGTGTGCAACTCCCTTGGGATGTTTGTAATTGAACCTACTGTACAGAGAAAATTTTCCTTCTAAAGGTTTTAAGAGACTCTCAAATTGCACCAAAGTCCCTTATAGAGCAAATGCCAGGGTCATTGTGAACCTGGGTACAGATGATCTTGAACATAATTTTTGTATTTCCATTAGGTTTTGAGCTCCTGTTTTTAAAATAAGGTGTTGGAATGAGACACACAGTATTGGAACCTTCTGATTCAAATGGGAAAGGTGGGGGAAGAGGAGAGAAAACATCTTTTCTTGTTTTCTTTAGAAGCTAGTTGCAAGTCTGACCAGAATACTTAAATCTGCTATTGCATTTAAAAGTATTATCTTTTACATACCTGAAGCTTCTGTTGTGTTGCAATTGATTATTAATACCAGCTTATCTTTGTGCTTATAGGGACGTGTGTATTCATCAGGATAAGCGTGTTCACCTCACGGTGGTGTATTTTGGACAAGATGGGCTGTCAGAAGTAAAAAGCATCCTAGAATCCGTAGCTAGGTAAGTGTGTTGATCCCATGTCAGTCAATGCAAACAATATTGATTGACATTTAAAATGGTTTTTAAAAAGAATGAAATGATAAAAAGAATAAATTTATAGTCCATTACAGGTTAATAGGAAAAGTAAGTTTATTTACAGTATGCTGTTTTGTGGTTGGCGTTTTACACCTTAAGTTGCAAAAGTCTCCTGAAGACTACTAAAAATCAAGTTATAGGTCAAAAAAGACTAACAGCAGTGGCTTTGAGGTTTCTCTCTGACAGTCCAAAAAGCAACAGGGGTGAGTTTTGCAGTGAATATTCAGTCATGCTAACAGATTGATCGAAATTAAAGTTCTTTTGGAACTGGGCTGTAGATTTCGATAGTTCTTTCACTACAGAATCAATTTTATTTAATGATCATAGAATCATAGAATGGTTTGGG